AGGGAAAGAAAAGGAAGGAAGTTCATCTTCTCTCCTTTGCTCTCTTTCTCAACAACACATTTGAATTTTTCTCCCCATAGAATTTGGGGGCAACAAAAGGAGAGGCAGAAGAAGTAAGAGAACTTGAAGTTGTTGACTTTTCCCATGATGCACTGTGCTGGGTTCTGAGGCTCAGTGGGGACCAGGACTGCCACTGCTGGGTGACTGAGAAACTGTGGACAAGTCACTCAACCTGTGCTTCAGTTTTCCTCAGCAAAATGGGGATTCCCTCAAAGGCCTGACTTACCTACCTGGTGATTGTGAGGGTCAAATGCAATAACATCCCCTTGTGGGAAGAGTGCCTCAGAAAGCACAGCCTGAGGGAAAACTCAAGACACAACTCCTTTGTTAGGGAGTACCAGCCCAGGATGCAGAGGTCAGAGATGCAGGGAAAGCAGAGTGTTATGGGTTGAATTGTGTCTCCTCAAAATGATAAGTTGAAATTTTAACCCCTGATACCCCAGAACATGACCTTAGGTGGAAATAGGATCCTTACAGATGTAATTAGTTAAGATGAGGCTGTATTAGAGCTGAGTGTGCCCTTAATCCAATATGATTGATGTCCTTATAAGAAGACGGATGGACACACAGGGAGAATGCATGTGAAGATGGAAAGTGAGATTGGAGTGATGCATCTACAAGCCAAGGAATGCCTGAGGCTACCAGAAGCTAGAAGAGGCAAGGAAGGATCCACCAGTAGAACCTTCAGAGGGAGCATGGCTCTGTCAACAATTTGATTTCAGACTTCTGGCCTCCAGAACTATGAGACAGTAAATCTGTGTTGTCTTAAGCCACCCAGTTTGTGGTACTTTGTTACAGCAGCACCAGGAAACTCATATGGGAGAGAGTCTATAGCAAATGCATTGTTAAGCCAGCTACTGCTAAGTGCAACCGACTGCTTGAAATCATGGGATTGCCCTCCAGTAAGCAACATAAACCTCATTTCAAGACAATCTGGCCAAGATAAGAAAGGAAGAGGAGTTTATCCACCCCCGCCCCGCATCTCTCAGTAGTCAGAGGTTTGCCTCAAGGGGTGTTAATTCCTGCACATACCTTTTTACCCATGTGCAAGGCAAGTCTGGTGATATCCTGTGCTTTGAATTTGACACGGAAGCCTGGAAATGGGAGTAAGAGGCCTATAACAGACATGAGGTAAGGTGCTATAAGGGTACACTGTGGAAAGTCTGTCAGATCCTGTGCAGAGCTGGTTGAAATAGTGCCAGCTGGAATAGGGCAGGCGTGGCTTTGAGGATCTAAAGAGGACCTTGAGAGGTACCCTGATAAACACATACCCAAGCATTTCAAAGGGTAGAACAAGGTGCTATGGAACAAATTATGAGGGAATTTAACTTAATCTATGGTATTAATACTTTTTGGAGGAAGGACTGCGTAAGCTGAGACCTAAAAGACAAGTAGCCCAGTAACATTGGGAGAGTCATTGTACAACACAACCTCAAAGTATTTCCTGATTCATCCAAATTTTTCTTTCCTAAATTTAATGTAAACTTGTATGGATATAACTGAATCACTTTGCTGTACACCTGTAACTAACACATCATTGTTAACTATACTCCAATATAAAATAAAATTTTTTTTAAATCATAAATGCCACTAGAAAGGGTGGCACATTAACTTTATTGACAATATTGTGTATTTTACAAAGTTGCTGAGTAAAGAAGCTTCACACACACACACACACACACACACACACACACACACAGGTTCAATCTTTTTTTTTACATTTTTTTCTAGTCATCAGATATCCCCATATCTCCTCCCTCTTGCGTCTCCCTCCCACCCCTCTAGGAGGACACAAAGCACCGAGCTGATCTCCCTGACCAGTTCTTTATCGGCAACCTGCTCATGAGGTGGACAGATCAGAGCTTAAAGATTTTTTTCAAAATTAGGGGAATATGGTGGAGCTGCATATTAACAACAGTGGGAAATTACCCAATTTTGGGTTCGTTGCGTTTGATGATTCTGAGCCTGTTCAGAAGGTGCTTAGCAACAGGCCCATCACATTCAGAGGTGAGGTCCATCTGAATGTGGAAGAAAAGAAGACTCGAGCGGCCCAGGAAGGGGACCGCCGAGATAACCACCTGCAGGGACCTGGAGGCCCTCGAGGTGGGCTGGGTGGTGGGATGAGAGGCCCACCCCGCGGAGGCATGGTGCAGAAACCAGGATTTGCAGTGGGAAGGGGCATTGCTCCAAGGCAGTGAATTGCTCTTCACGGATCTTCAGGCAGCAGTACAAAGCCTCGCTCCCACAAAACGGTAAATTTCTTCAGCCAACCTTTGGTATCTTGGAATCTGATCCTAGTCTATCATAAACTGCTTAAGTTTGTACAATTTTACTTTTTGTGTTAATGGTGTGTGCTCCTTAGCACCCCCCCCCCCCACATTTTAGCCCTTCACTTCCAATTTTGTGGAATGATATTTTAGGAAAAATGGATTTTTAAAGAAGAAAAAAAAAAAGACTGCATTTCCCTGCTTTACTTGCATATACAGACTGGATTTTTTTTTAACAGTTTCCCCAAAGGAATGTTTCTTGCTTATTACTGACATTTGGTATGTTTCATTCATTGGAATATTTCTTACTTATTATCTACATGTTTCAAAATCCTGGGAGAATTACAGGATTTGATAAACATTTTGAAGGCAGGAAAAACCTAAATTGTCTCTTCTTTGAAAGTCAGGACTACCTTCTGGTGTGGAAAAATTGACAATTTAGATTCTCTCTGGTATGGTTAAAAACTGAAAAGGTGTTAGTGGAGTTTTTCTTTGGATACGCGATCACCAAACAGTTCCAAAACGTACTGTCTTTACCACTGAAATTTAAATTGTGAGATAGGTTTTAAATGTCTAGAATGCAACTGATAAGCTTTTCTTGAACTGTTAGATTTTTTTTTGAAATAGAGTTTTTTCATGTTTAATTTGTATTTGTAAAAAAAGAAAAAAACAAAAAAATTTTAAAAATCTGAATAACACAAAACCAGAGCAAAACTGTTGTGCCTTCTATTTATCTTTGATTCCAGTCTTAGCAATTGTTTAAAGAAAAATAATAATAATGAAAAAAACCCTAAATTTGTTCTATCAGGTTCAGAGTGTGTTGGGAATTATAGACTACCTCTTTCACCTGTAAAAAAAAAAAAACAGTCGCAAGTCAACTGATACAGATTTGAGGTTTATCTGTATACTTGTTTGTTTTTGCTGATTTCTGTGGAAGGGAGGAGTGAGAAAATAACAAATGGCTAAAAGAAAATCCATCAGGGCAATAAAAAGTCATGTACTTTCTGTGGAATCCTTTAATCCATACTAGTTCATGTATACTTTTTCAAACTGATGAATTTATTGGTCTTTGAGATTTTAAATAGCCCATGGGCTATTTTCTTTTCCTCTCTCTGTCTTTTTTTTTTTTTTTCTTTTTCATTTTAGTGTGAATGACATTGTGGTTCTCGGAGCAGAACAGTTCTATGCCACCAGAGACCACTATTTTACCAACTTCTTCTTGGTACTATTAGAGATGGTCATGGATCTTCGCTGGACTTACATTCTTTTCTACAGTCCAAGAGAGGTTAAAGTGGTGGCCAAAGGATTTAGTTCTGCCAATGGGATCACCATCTCACCAGACAAGAAGTAAGCTCTTTTTTAAATTCCAACCCTTTACCCTTGACATTTTCATGGATTCCTTCCCTGAAGAAGTGCTTACTTCCTGAGGCTTAAGTAGTCAATACATGTGTGGAGGGATCCAGCGTGGCCAGGGTTCACAATAAATGTGTGATCTTAAGCCAATCATTGCCCTCTTGCACTTTAGGGTCCCCCAACAAAATGAGGGATTTTGACTCAAGGATATGAGGTCCTTGTTCCAGATTCTTATGTGACTAGAAAAGAGTATAAATGCAGGATACCTCTGCCCCTTATGAGGCTAGAAGGTCTTTAATCACTTATACTAAGTTCAGTTACCCAAAAGTTCTTATTGTAGAGGGAGACCCAACTTAGATTGGGCATTGGGATTATATAAGTTTCAGACTTACTGTTATACTACAACAGAATTTTCTATGAGAAGACATTATTTTATGCAGCATAAAATTTTATGAGAAACTCTTTTAAAGTGTTTTTAAAATGGAAGGTTATTTAAAAAGAAGAGTATCATGAATATTAAATGTAAAGGTGACATAATAAATAGGGATGATCCCTGTGGAAAACAACACTAAGTATTCTTCCTCTTTTTAAAAGTAATTGTGATTGAGTTTGATGATCATCTGCTACTTCTTTTCAAGCACGAGTTTCTGGAAGTATAGGCTGTATTGGACTTATGAGAGGTCCACTTACCTCCATTCAATTTAAAGAATAAAGTGTGACTCCTAACTGATGAGACTGAGCCTATATGTCATCTAGAAACACAATTCCATTACGTTATGGTCATATCTCATATTCAACGCTTACTTAAAGCACTTCAAGAGTATTAAAAATACCAGTCCATTATCTTTTACTGTGGTTTAGAAAGGCACTGTAGTGGCACTTTGAGCTATTGTGAATTTGTATATTTCTTCTCCAGAATAAAAGTTAGTATCATTTCTCATTACTACTTGCTTAAATGTAAATGTTACTTACTTCAAAGGTATATCTATGTAGCTGATATACTGGATAAGAACATTCATGTAATGAAAAAACATGACAACTGGGATTTAACTCAACTCAAGGTAAAAGTACCCTGTCTCCCCACACAGCGTGTTCTATTACATTAGTTCCCAAGCTTGACCTGGGAATGTGCTCCCTGAATGAAGGAAACGAGACTGTTTTAGAAGAATGTTGGTGAGATTATGCTTGCGCTTCTAAAATTCAGTAGCAAAAATCTAATTTCAGGAGCCAGAAGGAGCTGGTGGGAGGGAGGAGGGAGGGAAGAAAGTCAAAACAATGTCTTCACTACTTCCTCTTTGTTGGAAGGTAATCCAGTTGGGCACCTTAGTGGATAACTTAACTGTTGATCCTGACACGGGAGATGTTTTGGCAGGATGCCATCCTAATGCCATCAAGCTGCTGATGTATAATACTGAGGATCCTCCAGGGTCAGAAGTAAGTTCTTATACTTCTCTAAGCTCATGGGAAAAGCGGCAAGAACAGTCAATTTGTTGAGGTGACTTGGGAGAATTTAGCAGGTCATATGTGATGTTCCAGAATTGAACTAATTCTGCGTATGGGAAGAGTAAAGATTTGGGGCAGGATGGGGAGATACAGCCCATTAACCCCTTCAAGTCACCTGCTGACAGTTTAACATCAGTGCTAAACAGCATATCCTATCCTTGCAAAGGCTGTACTTGCTATTGGGAATCATGGGAAAATATGAGCTTGATTATTCATATTGACCCAGATTCCCATATCATAGTTCCAATCAGGATGTAGGCTCTGAGCAGGCCCTAAAGTTAGGCAAAGGGAGAGTCATATATGGAAACATCTTTCACACTGCCCAACAGGAAGCTCCCATGAAAGGGTTTAAACGACTGTGGTCTCATAACAAAATTAGATTTTGCCCGCAGGTTCTATTATATATGATAGTGTTGAAGAATGTCTCATTTTATAGATGTTAGTTTAAGTCTCTTCTAAAATAATATCATATGCCATTGAATTTTATATGGCATTAGAAACAATAGCATAAAGCATTGCAATTTCTATAGCATTGAGCTTAAGAATAAAAAAATCTCTAGTGAATTTAAATACAGATATAAATTCTTGGCACACATACTATGAGAGATTTTTTCACAAAAATTTACTGAGCACTTATAATGTACTAGTCTTTGTTCTAATGCTTAGAAAATAATCAGAAAACTTTAAAACATACAAAGATCCCTGCTGTTAGGGAGGGAGAAAGACAATGAACAATAAGCATAAGAAATAAGTAAATTAGATAATAAGTTTGAAAGTGGTAAGTTCTATGGGAAGAAAAAGCATAACAGTAAAAGGGATCAGGATTACTGTGAACAGAGGGATGGCAGGTCTTATTAAATATGGAGACTAGGCTATGCCTCATTGAGAAGGTAAAGTTTGAACAAAGAGGAGAATGTTTGAATCTAGGTTTGGGGAGTTGGGAAATTGAGACTCAAATCCCACCCTGGTAATTGGCCCAGTGGGTAAAGTAGAACATACAGTTATTCTGCTTCCAATATTGCTATTCTTTAGTCTAAAAAAATTTTTTTAAAAAGATTTGTTTCTTTTATTAACATATTAGTCACAACTTTTTTTGTTTTGTTTTTGGCTCTGCCACATGGCTTGTGGGATCTTAGTTCCCTGGTTGAACCCGTGCCCTCACCAGTGAAAGCACGGGGTCCTAACCACTGGACTGCCAGAGAATTCCCTAGTCAACAATTTCTTGACAAAAACCAACAACAACCAAAAAAAAAAACCAAAACAAACAAAACACCCCAAAACATCAAAAAATATAAAAAGAAACAAAAGTCCAGCCTGAGACTAGAACCTGAAGAATTGTTACCCTAAGCTACCCTGGCCTCAGATATATGCCCCCCAAAGTGATACATATAACTTTTCTACAAATGCCCAACAACATTTTCTTTAAGAGAATGAAAATACGATCCACAGAATGATAAAATTGTTTAGACTCTTTTTCATGTCTCCATTTTCAAGTTTAATCATTTGTTTATTTTAGATAAGACTTCTTTCTTCACAATCACTGACACCCTTTATTTTTGGTGGAGGCTAATGTTTTCGACATGAGTTCCAGCTTGAGTATTTCCATGTAACAAACCTGAGATAAAGTTGTAAGATCTTCCTCAAGATAAAACAAAAACAAAAACAAAAACAAACTAAATTCTGTTTTAATAAGAGATGTTGATATACACTCATGACTCATGAAATCCTAATCCTCAATTAAATCCTAATTTAATTCACATCATGCCCTATTTGAGTGAACTTCATCCAGGCTATTTGGAAACCTGAACACTTATGTATTTACTGATTAGCAAACTAAACTGTGTAAATCCTGTGGATCAATAACAGTACTAGGCAGTGATGTGTCAGATTGAATTCCAAAGTATGCATTCTTTATGCTTCCTTGAGGGAGGGGTCCAGCTGTGAAAACTACCATCTACTGGTTCTGGGTTGGGTTGGCTGGCTAACTGGTTGTCCCTTCATTATCTTGTCCCATGTTTCCCTCCTCATCCTGAATGCCCAAAGGCAAGAACCTTTCCACAGAGGGAGCAACACTGTTCACTGAAGATTAGATAAGAGCATTCACGGTTCTTACCTCTCTCTATAGAGAAGTCCGAACTATCAAAATTGTGTAAACCATCTGCTGAGGAATTTGGCTAATGTGAGATCACTAGTCCACTTGACTGACTAGATATCGTTAGGACACTGATACTTTCATCAGAAGAAGAAAAAGAAAAGATTGAAGATGTACGGATTTTAGCTTATTGATTTCTGAGAAACATACTACTCCTGGAGTATTTGGGAAGGAAAACACCTCTGATGGCTGTTTGTTCATAGTCTACTAATGAATGATCTTTCTTGACAGGTACTTCGGATCCAGAATGCTTTGTCTGAGAAGCCCAGGATAAGCACTGAGTATGCCAACAATGGCTCAGTGCTTCAGGGCAGCTCTGTGGCTTCTGTGTACCAGGGGAAGCTTCTCATAGGCACCGTATTTCACAAAGCTCTGTACTGTGTGCTCTAGAGTCCAGATATTCCAAAAAGTCTACATATTTGGTAAAAGTAAACCCTTAATTATATGATAACTGGAACTGTAAGTAAATGACAATAAAAATAACTAAATAACAAAGTTTTATTGGACACACCAATAAAAATGTGTCTGGGGTCTTAAAAAAAAAAAAAAAAAAAAAGTGTCCTTCTTTTCTCATGGATAGAAGTAAAGAAGCAGAGAGATTACGTAATATCCCCCTAATTGCAAGTCAAGATAGTGACAGTCCAACAAGAAACTAAACCTCTTAATTCTTTTTATCTACCACCCCCAATATTCTTTCTACAATGAGATGAGTGAGCTGTGGTAAGTGAGGTGTCCAGCTCACCTAGGGCTCCTTGGTAACTGTGTGGCAAAATTAACCTCCTGCAACTGTGATGTTCTGAGCCTCTTGCAGTCCAGACCAGGAGAAAAGCTAATGTTCAAATATTTATAATTCCCCCTCTCTTCCCTCAATTGCACAAGGCACAAACTACCAATCAAGTGCCCAGCCCATGGATAAAAGCAAGAATTGGCATCATGGGACTGCCCAAAGTCCTCCTTGAACTTGCATTCTCCCAATGTAGACACAGGAAATCAGATTCTGGAAAATCTGACAAAGACGGACCACACTGCCTACTTTAAGGCAGGGCAGGGCTAATCTGATCTTTGTAACAGGTCTTTATTTGTAGTGATATCTGTATCTGAAGTGTTGTAATCATCTTGGCTCTGACCCAGGAGATGGTGCCTCAGGACTGTTATCCTCAGCTGCTTTAAACATGCTCTTCTGGTTGATTCAATAAACACTTATTAAGCAACATTCCATACACCTGGCCCTAAAGAATCTGAAATAAATATCAGTATTGTATTGAAATCTTGTCTTACGGACCAACTCAACCTTAGTTTCATGAGAATGAATACAAGTGTCCCTTTCTTGGTCAAAAACCAGGACAACCTTTAGGAAATCATTAACAGGACTTAGTATACACAAGCACTCCACCCCCTTCCTTTTTTGTGACTTTTGCTGGGGAGTGGTTGGTTAATTTTTTTTTTTTCTCTTCTGGGGATGGGGTGTTGGGGTGACCTTTTTAATTCCTAAGTCATTTTGCTCAGTTAGATGTAAGTTTTGTTGAAAAGTTCTGTAGCCGGGGAAAATTCTACTTTTTAGCCCATGTAACCCTTTCTGATTTAGACAGTAGGACTGCAGTTTCCATTGCTTTAGGGGATGAATGACTCAGCAAAATGTTATAGTCAGTTCTCAGATTTTAATTTTGAGAAGCCTAACCATTAGGGGGACACAGAGAAAAATAACTAAGAGCATGTATACAGCCAGTTTCAGTAAATATGTCTTATTTTCTGTCCTTAACCCTTACAACCACAAATTAGATAAAGTTTACCAGACTAGGGGGGACATGGAGATCTAGAGATGAGAAGAATAAGGGTATTTAGATGCTGGTGTGTTCCTAAGAATTTGCCCTGCCTTCTTCCCAGGCCAGTTTAGGAAAGGCTTCATGATAAAAACTCCCAGAGAGATTTGGGGGATCTCATTGCCAGGGACCAATATGTCCTTTCACAGTGAGGGCCTAGAAAGTTACAAAGCTCTAGAGTTTCCCTTCTTGTAGGCACTTCCAATCTTTATGTGATTATCTTGAGCCTCTTCCCTCACTTGGCTTGAGAGGGAGAGGGATTGCCCCTCACAATAGATGCTGCATTTTGATGATTCCTTGTCTTTTCTTCCCCATTCTTTCTGTTTAAATCGTCAGAGATGCAGGCAGGGATACTAGGGTGATGAAGAGGAGGTGGTTGAGCTCAGGAAAGAAAATAGTAAAGATAAGCGCAAAAACCAATGTGGTAGACAGCTCCAAGATGGCCCCCAATGATCCTTAATTTCTGGTATTCCTTCTCTTGCACAGTTCCCTTCTACATCAAATATGGCTGATCTGGGTAATCAGCAGGATATTCTAGATGTGATGTGTGACTGTCGAGGCTAGGTTATACAAAAACACTTCCATTTCTATTTTGCTTACAAAAAACTGTGCATAGTAATAAAAGTTTCTGATTGTTTTAAGATGCTAAGCTCTGGACTAATTTGTAATGATAGTCAAAAATGAAACAGAAAACCACATATAATGCAGAGATTAAACAAAAGCCAAAAGTTCATTCTTTAAAAAGATTATTAAAAACTAATACACATCTGGTGAGACTTGCAAAGAAAAAAGAATGACTCAATTATCCAATGTCAGAAATAAAAATAACACATGTAGATGCTATAGATAATACAGAGATAAAAAGAGGGGTTGATGAAACACTTTGTGCCAACAAATATGAAATTTTTATAAAAAGAACAAGCTCCTAGAAAAAATATAACACACTATTAATTGGGGTAAGGCTGACCTACTGTAACATACAAAACAAAACATACAATGCCTTTAAAAAAAGGATGATCTATTTCTCTTTTATTTTGCAGTTTTCAGGAAAGTGATTGATGAGGCAGCTTCCCTTGATGGGGCCATCCAGAGAGATCACTGATCGGAATTTTGCAGGAAAGAAAAAGGACACTCAAACAGGGCTGTTGAGAGAAGTTCTTTTAGGAGACTATTGACACAATGGTGGGAATGTACAAAAGAAACTAACAAGAAAAAGTACAACACTCCATTGTTAGCAATGGAGTGAGAGAGAGTGGGTGGGTGGGGCAGTCCAGGGACTCTTTCCAACCCTAGGTTTGAAGGAACAAGGGGTGGAAGCAGTTACTAGAACCAGAAGAGAGTAGATAAAGTGGAGACTCTCCCAATAGATGCTCTGGTCATTGGTAGAAAGAGGCAGCTAACCTATGACAACTCAGCAGAGACAGCAGAGGGAATAAATATCTTGACTGATCTCCCCTTCCACCCTCCCAACTAGAATCCAGAAGGCAGGGAGCTATTAATGGAGCCCAGAAAGCCTCCAGGACACAAAGCAATGGGGAGCTGCATAGAGAGTGTATCTTGAGCAGCAATAGCTTCATCTTATTGCTGCACCATTGCCTAGGTTACTATAGTTATCTGCATGGTGGAAGGTAGGTCACCCCCATGTCTGTATATCATCAAACTGGAAGGAGAAAGAGGTTGGAGGATGTCAGGGAGAAATACCCCATGTCTTAAGGCCTAGAATCAGGAATGGTAGTCATTATTTCTACTCCCTTACCAATGGTAAAAACTAATCACATGGCTGTACCTAACTAACTGCAAAGAAAAATGGATGATGTAATATGACTGGGGAGACATATGTTCAAGGAGGAAAAAAAGAATAAATTCTAGTGAACAATTAGTGGTCTGTGCCACAGTCCACCTTTTAGCCAACAAATATCCATCTGTACCCTTCTCTTACACATTAGTTCCCTCACCAAGAAATATAACCCCAAATTCCATCCAATTTCTGCATCCAGCTCAAAGCACAGGATCTCTGGGTGATGTTTGGACCTCTGCGTTAGGTCCCGATTTGGCTGCATGAGGCAGCCTAGAAAATAAAATGATTGTCCCCACAATACATCCAATTACAATGGTTGAGTATGAGCTGAATAACTATAATAAACACTCCTAGTTAAAAAAAAAAAAGAATAAGAATAAGAATAAGAATAGAATATACTCAGTAGTCACTGGTCCATAACAATGCAGGGAGGAAGTTAGGTGGTTACTTGTCTTGGCAGCGGTGTATTTTCCCATGTCCTCTATGAATCCAAATTTTGCCCTTTCAGAATTCTTTCAGGTACATTATGCTATAAGGCCACATCTAAAGTGAGTCTTGGAAAGACTGTGTAATTTTAATAGCCTCCTTTTTATAGGTGTAGGTTTGAGAATCTGAGGACGTTTCCAGGCCAGAGTTTTGGTTGCTTTTGAAATGTAAGTATCCTAGAAATCTGATAAGCTTCAGCATCTATTTGTTTCCAGTAATTGCCATGTGCCAGCAACAACATTCAGATTTCTTTTTGGATCTTAGTTTTTTAGCCTACTTTACTTCCCGGTTTCCATGTCTACCCACTTCTCTCTCCCTTATTCAAATGCTGTCTCCTTTGAGGCCATCTGAAGGAATAGGTAAAAGGAAGCAATATAATCTCCCACAGGGCTGGCTCCCTTGGCTTTCCTAACTGGGAGACATTTGGGAAATGCTATAAGCTGTAGCAATTTTACTTCCTGGTGTTGGGGCACAGAACCAAATTTCTAGACCTTCTCTATAGCCTCTGCTTTAGGCCTGCTAGTTCTTACCTGAGCACATAATTTTATTACAGTCCTCTACTAAAAACATTAAGGAACAACCAACCTTTACATATGAACATTCTGGTTGCTCTCTGGGGAAATGGCCAGCCTTTCAAGATACTGCAGGAAATGGTTTTATTAAATATTTTTTTGTGAGGAACATTACAAGGATCTCCAGCTTTGTAGCCTGTGATGTTTCTTCAACTCTAACCACATATTTAAGGTTACTTTTAGAACCACTTCTAGGTTCAATTTCCTATATTTTTAAGGTCACGCTAAGCTGTTGTAACAAAGTGACCTCTTATTTAGTGGCTTAAAGAATATAGAATTACTAAAAGATAGTACATCATAGTGGGTGAGAGCACAGATTGTGGAGCCCAATTTTCTGGATTTGAATCCCAGTTCAGTTACTTACTAACCATGCAACTCTGGCCTTCTCTGAGTCTCAGTTTTCTCTTCTTCAAAATTGAGGTAGTAAGAGTAACTAGCACTTAGGGTCAGTAAGAGGATTAAAAGAGTTAGGATATGTAAAATTTAGAACAGTGCTTGTTATACGCCAGTGTTATATACACGCTTCCTAATTTTAAAAAGCATTTATAACGTCTCTCACATCAGAGATCTCAGATGACTGTTCCTGAGACAGATAAATATGAAAACTCTGATCCTTATTGTACTCCAGGGGTCTAGTAGTTTTCACGAAGGAGCATGTATTCTGCAGAGCATTAACATCTCATGATCAGTCATCGTATTGGATTCCATCCCACAGAAAAGGGAAAG